GGACCGAATTTCCATCTGCGAATCGCAACAAAGGCGACCCATTTCTAAAGCGGTTGGTAAATGGCGATGGAAAAGTGGATCACAGACGACAACGTCAAGCGAAAACGGCCGTGTCGAAAAGCGATGAGCCAAGGGAAACAGTTTTGCTCTGTGTTTGGTGGGATAGGCAAGGAATTATCTACTATGCGCTGCTCCCATACGGCAAAACTCTTAACTCGAAACTGTACTTTCAACAATTGGAAAGATCCGAAGGTAGCAAGCGCCCAGAAGCGAACAGCTTTGGCCAATGGGGGAGGAATTGTGTTCCATTAGGACCAAGCTAGGCCATAACACATCGATAGCGACAGGCCAGAAGTTCCGAGAACTTGGTTGGTGGGATATTCCTCTACATCCATCTTATAGTGGCACCAAGTGATGTCTAGCCTCCAATGTAACTGTAAAGAGTTTTAAATTTGACGTTGTAGACTATTTCATTTCGCTTGGTGCCAGCAATTATGTCAGATGCTACTTTGGCTCTCAACAAAAAAATCTTACTCTACAAGTGCTGGTATATTAAGCAATGGCACACATACATATATAGATCCCTCCTGCGGGTTAGCAGGTACAAGAATTTACCCGCGGTAAGACATGCCTGTCGTCAGAGGCGACTAAAATCCAATAATTTCCGCGACAGTCGGGTATTTATACCGGAACAAGGACTGTCACTCCAGCAACATTCTCCAAAAAGTACTTTTGGGAATATTTTTGCGGTTACAACAACAACAAGAACGTATATATATAGAAAAACGACTACCATGCCATTCAAAAATTATCGAAATTTAATTAAAATAAAAAATTTATTTTAATTTTCTTATTGCGGTCGCCCATCGACAGGGTATGTCAAGCCCTCCTCATAAAAAAAACCATCAGCCGTTCGTAGGCGGCTTAGTATAAACTGTGCGTCGCTTCATTTGTTGGAAAATCACAAATTGGAGGAGGAGCTCGACAGAACTTCGCTTCAGTGGTTACAAAACGCCAGATATATACATATATATATATTGACATTGACGCCATCTGAAGACTTGGCATTAAGAATTAGTGAGAGAAACGTTTTTCGAAAGATGTGCGGATCTCTACGTAGTAGCGACGGCGAGGGTTAAGCATTGGCCTATACGAGAGATACAGCGCTGTCAATATGCTTCAGCGAAATAAGTGATATTGGCTTCGTGGTGTAGGTTATATAGCTGGATGGATGTAAGCACTTCAACTTTGAGAGTATTTGAAGACCTTCGCTCCATCGAAAAGATCAGGTATAGAAACGACCGGCTTCCTTTGGAAATTTCACTGACCAGCATGCTAATGCTGACTCGGCTATGAACGCATAAGCGTTGCCTATGCCAGTAAAGAAGAAGATGAAGTTCATCGTGCTTTTCGCACGAAACTCTTTAACCAATCTCTAATATATCGCACAAAGCGAAATTCAAAGCGAAGATTTGCATATTCATCCCAGCTTTTATGTACACTACATACATATGCCGCTATACATATTTACGTATGTACATAAGTAAACACAGAAATGCTAAATAACGTTGAAATTAACAGTTGTGTGTGATTCCAATGTGCTTTACGATATGCACACCTCAGAAATTGTGCTAATAACTTCATGAATTATTGATGAGTATTTGCTAAAAGGCATCGTAAACAAACGATTAAAGTTTTCGCAAACAAGCCGGTGGGCGGTCAATTGTGTAAAGAATGAGTTATTGTATGTACTCGTATATAAGTAAATAGATTAAATATTTTTGCATTATATTGATCTACATACGAGGTGTGTTCAAAAAATATCGCGAATTTTGTGTTTTTTTTTTTCAAAAATTATTTATTTATTCATGAATATCTATTTTGTCCCCTTCAAAGTTGTCCCCATTAGATATTATGCACTTGTGCCAACGGTTTTCCAATCTTCGAAGCACTTCAAAAAATCATTTTTTTTATCTTGTTCAGCTCCTCCTTCGATGCCGTCTTTATCTCGTCAATCGTAGCGTAACGTCGTCCTTTCATGTGCCTCTCTTCAGTTTAAGGAGCAAGAGAAAGTCACAGGGAGCCAGATCTGGGGAGTACGATGGCTGCGGCGGCATCATTAGTGTGTTGTTTTTGGCCAAAAAGTCGCGCACAAGCAACGATGTGTGAGCAGGGGCGTTATCGTGGTGCAAAAGCCAATTTTTGTTCTTCCACAAATCCGGGCGTTTCTGGCGGATTGCTTCGCGCAAATTGCGTATAATTTGCAGGTAATATTCTTTATTGACCGTTCTACCCTGTGGCAAGAACTTATGATGCACCGCGCCCTGCAATCGAAGAAAACTGTAAGCAAAACTTTCACATTCGACCGAACTTGGCGCCCTTTTCTTGGTTCGAGCGGCAGCATCCTTTGAGATGATTGAAGCCACGATTCGTCACCAGTTATGACCCTCTGGAGCAAATTTGGGTCGTCGTGGACAGAGTCCAACATCACTTTAGCAATGTTCATGCGATGCTGTTTTTGGTCGCAATTGAGCAATTTTGGTACGAATTTCGCGGCGACCCGTCTCATGCCCATATTATTGATAAAAATCAAATGGCACGAGCCAATCGATATATTTAAGTCCTCAGCAACTTCTCTAACGGTGATTCGGCGATTGGCCAATATCATTTTCTCCACTTCATTAATTTTTTCGTCTGTTGTTGAAGTGCTCGGGCGTCCGGCACGCTCGTCGTCGTTCACATCTTCTCGGCCTTCTGAGAACATTTTGTATCACCGATAAACGTTGCTTCGGTCCACGGTAGCTTCTCCGTATGACACACTCAACATTCGGTATGCATTCGCGGTAATGGATACAGGTTCTTTGATCCATTTTTTTGAATAGGTAAAAATCGAAGACCATCCAAAATACGTGCAGGCAAAGCAGCTATCAACAATTAAGTGAACATTCAAGACGGCCGAGCTTGTCGGCATAAGTGACAGACATGAGTACCAACATAATGCCACGAAAAAATCGAAATTCGATTATACGTAGCCAGCGAAAATTCAAAATTCGCGATACTTTTTGAACACACCTCGTATATGTATGTATGTGCGACATAATATTGTCGCGTGCGTGTTCAAATTGGTAATCAAATTAACTTTCAATGCGGGGTAATTAGATGTTAAGTTGACTAATGAAATAACAGTCACTAATTATAATTTTAACATTGTCCGTTACCCAGCTTGGGGGGAAAGAACATGCCGCCTTTCATTCATAGTCCATTGAAAGTGTTAGCTTTTCTCGCGGCGCTCTTTTATTGTATCACCAATCGGTGTACTAAATACAGGATTCACTCAGTGGGGCGTAGGATACGAATGCAAACAAACTGCGTCAAAAGAAACAATTACTTGCTCCACCCAATGAGCCGAACCCAGTATAAGGCTCGCAAATACGATGGTAATTGTCGTAAAAACCCATCTCGCCCCACCAACCCCACACCACCCCACACAAGCACAATGGAAGCTTTGACCAGCTGTTGCTGCAAGCGTTAAGTAAATTTGTCAAGCTCTCAGCTGTAGACATCATTTGTATTCTACGAAAGCGAATGCTCTATGAACCGGTTGTTGATGGAATAAACGCCTATAAATAGACATTCTGACATTGTAGCTACTGTAGGTATGTACAGTTTTGAGACGTTTTCGAACACCTTGTGGGTAGTTAGAAGAGTACAAATAATATTGATAATTCCTGCCGAGTGGCGAGGAGAACTCTGGTTTTTTTTTATTTTATTTTTTTTTTGTTGTTAGAGTCTTTGCCCAAAGTCATAATACTACGTTTGCAATATGCACTGCTGGTCATCCGCATACTATGCTCACTATTTATAACTTCTTCTTTACTGGCATGGGCGCCACTCACGCGATTATAGCCGCGGTAACAATAGCGCGACGTTGATTCCTTCTTTTTGCTGTTTTGCGCCAATTGGAAATATCAAGTACAGTCAGGTCCTTCTCTAATTGGTCATTCCAACGGTCTTCTTCTTCCTCTACTTCCACCGACGGGTACTGCATCGAATACTTTCAAAGCTCGAGCCCTTTCATGCATTCGAACCAAGTTGCCTAACCAGCGTAACCGCTGTCTTTTGATTCGCACTGAACTATGTCAATTACGGCGACATCTCGTATAAAACATTTCTCTCGAAAACTCCTAACGCCGACTTATGAGATGTTGTATATAGCAAGAGGGAACGATGAGCGCCTTATAGAGTTTAATTGCCGTTTGTCGGGAGAGAACTTTTCTTTTCAATTGCCCACTCAGTCCGAAGTAGCAGCTGTGGTCAGAGTGATTCTACGCTGGATTTGAAGGCTGAAATTGTGGTTCTCTCGAAGACTCGCAAAGCCAAATCTTCGGGTTTTGTCTACTTATGTGCTTCTTTCTGCACTACAAAGCAAGAGGAGAATGTTGAGCCTAATTTATAAGGAGTGCAAGCAAAAGTACGCGGTCTGGGGAATAATCGTCTTGTCCACGTTCACTACCGGATTCATGCGTTGCGCTTTAAACTGGCGAAAACAGAACTAACGGCACCGTCATTGAGGTCAATGACTCAACTCTAGTATACAAAGTATACCTGCTTCGCTTACTACTGGCGGCTCAGCATGCTTCCTCTCTGCTTACTTGTCAATTGATGTCCTTGCTTTCGCTTCCACCCTGTGGATGTTAGGGTTTTGTTTATTTTTTCTTTTTGTTACTTTCGACAATAAGTTCTGCCGGTAATCTGGAGCTGCTTCTCTTCTTAGTATTATATTTGCTAATTTTTTATTTCTGTTTAACGTCAAGACATCTGCCGACTCTTGCTGCTGTGAACTAGCGGTTACAGTACTCGGTGGCCTGGTTCGGCACAGAGTTATATCGAGTTGAGGGAGGAAAATAAAGGGAATGCGAAAATTTAGTCTAGAGCAAACTTGAAAGTACTATATAATACCGTTAGTTTTTATTAATTTTTTTTATTTCGTTTTATTTTAGTTATCACTCCTTCTCTTCGGACTAACATTCTTACACAACTGGTCAGAATTTGACGCCCTACCCAATCCTGGTGAAGAGATTCCAGTGGCCTTGCCTCAACCACAGCTGCCAATCGGGCCCATATCACTACAGCCACTGCCACCACCGAACCTATTACCATTACCGAACAATGCACCGATTACGCCCACAACCAGCACACCGCCAGCTGAGCCGGAGATACCTGAATACCGCAGGCAATGCTTCTATGCGGAGGAGGAGCTTTGCGACGAACAGTTGGCCAGTTGGAGCCAACAAGCATATGATCACCACTCACATTTAGGCACTTGTCATTGTCGCCCTTATGCGAATATGCCCACCTCTTGGTATTGTTGCAACGTCACTCACATGTCAATGGTCTCTTCCTGCAGCAACACCACCAGCTGGTCGAACTTGCATATACGCAATGTTACATTGCAGGAATTGGATTTATCGAATTTCCTTTATCAAAAGCTACAATCACTGGCCATCACCGATGGCAACATCACGAAATTAGTGGGCAGCTTCTCGCGGTTTTCCTCCATCAAATGCCTGAATGTGTCCAATAACAATTTATCGGAAATTGCGCAACGTGGCTTGATACCGCCCACTCTGAAAGTATTGGATATCTCGAAGAATAATTTGACGAGCATACCAAATTTTAATCAAAATCAGAATATCACTTTGGATGTGAGGTGCAGATTTGAAATAATTTTGGAAATCCTTGAAAAGTAATATACATACATATCTATGTTTCCATTTGCAGTGGCAACAACAATATGCTCTGTTTTGATATATACAACTCGATTTTTCGTGATTCGCTGATGTTCGTCAACCAACAGAATTCTTATTGTCTGCAAAATTTCACTTTTCGCTGGTTCAATTCAACCGATTTAATATCCATCAAGGAGCTAGTCAAATGGCGACCTCTGAACACTGATTGTCCCAGCATACCGGGTTATGGTAATTGTACCTGCAAGAAGGAGCACATGGTGACCACAGTGTCGGTGGGTTCAATCGAATTTATTTAGAAATGATTTTCGTATTTAATACGCCTCCTTTATTTAGGGAGATGAATCCGAGGCGAGAACAAAAATTATATCTGAAGTCGATTGCTCCAATCTTGGGCTTGTTGAGCTTCCACCGAAACTGCCTGAGAATACATTCTCATTGAATGTCTCAAACAATAAGGTATGAGCTTAGTCAAATATCATAAATGTAACCGTTATCATGGCTAATTCTAACTCCATTTATTCTATTTATTCCATTTATTTATCAAATTCAGATCACAGGCATTGGTAAACACTTCCATACAAATCCGACTTATCAAAGCCTTATTTATTTGGTAGCTGACAATAATAATATTTCAACAATATATGACTTTGAGGGCACCGCGTTCATGGAACACTTTCAAAGACTGTACTTACGCAACAACGCAATCAGTAGTGTAAGTAAAAATTACAATTTTTTTCCTTTTTTTACAATGGTTGTTGTCGGTGTTGTCAAGTTCATCAAATGGATACCGAACCCAATAAACGAGCTCAGACCAGAGTTCAGACCAAAGATGAGTAGGTACCCCGCAAAAAGATGATGAGGCGTGTCATGCGTCGTTCCTCTTTTAATCAGCTTCTGAGAAGAAATGGGGGTGGTTAGTGTTAAGCGGGGACTCATTGTCATAAATACCCTAAGTAAGGGTCAAGTGTGGATAGGTAGTAATTCAGCCGACTACAATATCCAGATCTTAATTGTGCCAGTATTACGTGGAACTCTCCAGGCAGCTCGAGATCTTCGTCTGTAATAGATGGTGATTTGACTCCGAGAACGCCATTCACTGGCAGAGAATTCAGGAAGATGGTGACGGACTCTGGTTGAATGTCGTTTATTACTTGTCGATAAGGCGTTGTTGTTGTTGTTGTTGTTGTTGTTGTTGTTGTAGCGGTTAACTAACCCCGCTTAGGCACAGGTTTGATCAGTCTAAGTCGCCGAGGTCATCTAGTGGTAGGTCCAGGAAACGAGCTGTTTCGACGGGGTTGGACCAAAGAGAGAGGGGGGTTAGATGAGTGAGTTTGAGGGGCATGTGAAGAGGTGGTTAGTGTCATGCGGATACTCTCCACATGCAGAGCATACGTTGGGTATGCTGGGGTCTATTCTGGATAGGTAGGAGTTTAACCTGTTACAATATCCAGACCTGAGTTGTGTCAGGGTCACGCGGGTCTCTCGAGGCAGCTCGAGCTCGTTGTCTGCTCACGACAGCCGGTTCTACGCACCGGAGTTAACCCGGATTTTATCCGGCCAAGGGCTTTCACCCTTTCAGCGACCTAACCTCGTTTAGGTCAACAGGTAACTCGATAAGGCGTCGTGCCCAGCGGTTCTTGTAACTGCTGGCGCTGAATACAGCCCTTGAAGACAATATCCTGGTCAGACGCCAATATCGAGCGATGAACGGTATCAATGAAGCTCCTGATGGAGGAGTGGTCTTCGAGATATAGAAATTAAACAACAGTGTGGAGAGTAATCTGTTTAATCTTTCTGAATTGGGATGTTTGACCTCGAAAAGCTACCGTTGATTTTCGACCTCTCAGTTAATCCACTTTGGGGTCGTTGTAATTGCTGAAGTGTTCCTATAATTTTTGCTTAGGAGTTAGTGTTGCGATATTTTAACTAATGTCAGATAGGTAGACACTAAGAACAACAGGTAGCTGCTCAACCTGCTAGACTCTACCCACGTTGTTTGGACTAATTGATTTGACTGCGGTCAAGGAAGAAAAGTGGTTCCTTTTGTTGCTGTTCTTGTTGTAGCTGTTCACTAGCACCACTTAGGAGCATGCAAGATCAGTCTAAGTCATCGAGTTCTAAAAAGAAGTCCCGGAAACAAGCTGTTTCGACGGGTTTGAACCAGAAGGAAGGAGGTAGCCCAAATTTGGTTTAAAGGGACCCACAAAGAGATGGTAAGTGTCGAGTAAAGATGCCAGGGTCAAGTCTTGATAGGTATGCCGACCACAATATCCAGTGGAAATGGCTTTTACGGGATATGCATTCTATCAAGCAACTAGCACGGTCGGTATTTCATAAGACCGTTAGATGGTCTGTTTATTGGCAAAATCAAATGTGCAGAAATTTGTACATTTTGTTATTGTTGGAAGGGCTAGTCCAAACCCGCTTAGGAGCAGGCAAAATCAGACGTAAGTCATCGAGGTAATCTGAAGGGAGGTTCAGGAATAAGATGCCCCAAATTAGACCCTGAGCACTCCTTCTGGTGAAAAATTGCCACTGTTGCTTTGTAACAGGCTTTGTTTTCCACAGATCAAGTAGAGGTTTTACATTTGGCTCAGGTTTTAGCTTACGATAGGAAGAAATTGATTTAATCAAAACCGTTAAATTCTTTTACGCCATTTTTTCAGATTCCCGAATACTTTTTGAGCAACGTACTTGATAATCATGATGTTGGACGTATTATCTTTCTCGGTGGAAATGAACTGAATTGCGATTGTAATTCTGCTAAAAAATTAAAGGTAAGACTTATTTGCATACATACATACGTTATACATATATGAAATAAACATAAATGTTTAAAAAATGTATTCTTTTAGTATTGGTTGCTCGAACACAATCGTGACATTCCCGACTATAACACAATACGATGCCGGAATATACCGCAAAGCGTTATGGAATTACGAGAAAAGAAGCTCTGCCAGTCCCCACATGATTGGACTGACTATATTTATTACCTAATTGCCACCGAAGTCATTTTGCTGATTGCTCTGATTACAAAAGTCTCTTATGATTATTGGGTATTCAAAACAGCTGGATATTTGCCATGGCCAGCAAGTAAAATGCCAAAATTACCATGTGATTGGCTTTGTGAATCCTGAAGGTACGCAGTTAGCGTGAGAAAGTGTAGTAAAATGACATACATACATATATGTACATATGTTCAATGTTTTTACAAATACAAATTTGATCTTCAAACATTAATCCCACAAGTATAACTAGAGCAACCCTCGAAAAATTACATATGATTTATCTAGATGTATACTAAAATTAATGTTTTATGCCGGTTTTCAACAGGAAATTAATGTGCCTATATTAGAGTATGTAAGCTTGAAACTCTTAAACATAAGTGCAATTAAAATAAAGTGCCTATGAATACCAACGTTGTCTATGAAAACAAAAGTATATATTAAAACCAGCACTAAGAAGAATTAATTGCACAGCAACATATTTATATACATTTTTTTTTTGTAAATTATACAATTGTATTAATAAAAAATGGAAAAACACCGAATTTATTTTATTTAATATTTTAAATAAATTAAAAGTAGTGTTATTGTTTTTTAAGTTTCATTTTTTTGTGTTGCGCTTTGTTGGTCTTTTTATCGATATCTACATTTAAATGTCGTTTTTTCGTAATTGGTTTACTCTCACTTTTCACGTCGCTGTCTTTCACTTGTTCGACATTCTTTGAAATTCGAGTTGAAATGCCTTCACGTTTTGGCGCATGATTCTCTAGCCATTTTCTCTCCGTCTTCCGTGGGTTTTTCATGCCCATTATAAAATCTGGTACTTTTCCATTCGAATCTTTGATGATTCGGGCAATACTGTAAGTAAATAAAATCAATAAGTAAATTAAAAAAAAAAAACTTTGTTCATTACTGTCATAACCCCCTAACGAGTTTCGACAAATACGTTGATCGAGTAAACTCTCTAATTGATACAAATAATTACGAACCTCTTCAAATTTGGTGTATCATTTTGAGTAAAGAATGTTATGGCTTTGCCATTTCTGCCAGCTCTACCCGTACGACCAATACGATGTATATAGGAAATAACGGATGGCGGAAAATCATAATTGATTACAAGATTAACTCCTTTAAAATCAATACCACGTCCCATTAGTTCAGTACAAATTAGTACCCAAATATGGCCTTCTCGGAACGCGCGTACACAATTGTCACGTTGTTGTTGTGACCGATCTGCATGTATGAGATCAACATTGATGCCATCGTAGAGTAACTCTTGGAACAGCTCCTTTGCACGCTCCTTAAAATATTGTGTATTTATCTTTTCTTATTTCCATTTCATATTTTGTAATTACCTTGCTTTGTACAAATACCAAAACTGGTGGTTTTAATCCTTTACGCACCATATCTCTTATTGCTAATAACTTTCCGCTCTCGGAACCAACAAATAGCAACTCTTGTTCTACCGAATCTGTTGCGCTATTTTCGTGGCCAATAATTACACGTGCCAAATTGGTTAGATTTTTAATAGCCCATTTAGCCACCGGAACGGTGTAAGTTGCACTGAAGAGTGCAAGTTTTCTTTTTTTATTTGTACAGGCAGCTAAAATCGCATCAACTTGATCCTTGAAGTTGTTTACACCTTCTTCCATTAAACGATCTGCTTCGTCAATAATCAACCATTCAACTCTAAGAAATAGTTAAGAAGCTAAGTTGTATAATGTTTATATGGTATATAAGCTATTTAACTTACTCAGCTAAGCGTAAAGCTGGTGGCTCCTGCTCTAACAAAAAACGTACTCGATTCGGTGTGGATATAAGAATATCGTACTTCTTGTTAGCATGACCAGTAGTAGCGTTATTATTATTTGCTTTTGTTTGAAAATGTATTTTTAATGCCGTCTGCTGCGCCAACTGCACACATTCTCTATAAATTTGTGCTGCCAATTCACGTGTAGGCGCTAAGATTACTGCACGATATCCAACTTTACTCGGTTTATTTAAATCATTGATCAGAGGAGTTAGAAAGGCTATGGTTTTACCAGAACCAGTCGGGGCCGATGCCATAACGTTTCGCCCTTGTAATAACAAAGGCATTGCTTGCATTTGTATGGGTGTAGGTTTGGAGTAGGTAGCAGAAGCGAGATTTTGTAGAAGTCGGTCTGAAAGTCTATACTCATTTTTAAGTTCTTCAAACGTTGTAACTGGTGGAGGAATATTTTTACCACGTACAGAAATTAAATTTTCTTTACGCAATTGTAGTACCTACATAAGGTTTATATAAATATAATTACAAATATATATAATTTTAAAGTACTTGCCATTTCTTCAAATAGTTTCGCTTCTTTTTCTTCTGGTGTAACTACTTTTTTAGGTTTTTTGGATCTGGGTTTTTGATCTTCTGCATCCATCGAAGCTATGTAGGTAAAAGTATGTTCTTCCTCCTCCGAACTAAAACCATCATTTTGTGCACCCTTCTCAGTATTTACATCTTTGGTGCTAATTTTGGGGTTTAACACCATACATTCTTTTTGTTCGGTGGTGTGTATTTCCTTCTGTAAATCCATTTTGGGCGCATTTAGAATTTTTTCACTTTTTTGAAAATATCATTCTTACCGCTTTTATTGCGTTCCGAGGCTTCGAATTAAACCGTGCTCCTCTTGTAAGCTGAAGAAATATATCATGTGTATCCATTTTTTTACCACCTTTTTATTTTTTTATGAATTGATATCAGCAATAGTTTTTAATGATAAATTAATCTGTAAAATTATAATTTACACGTGTTTGTTATTACTACAGAAACTAAACAAAATATGGTTTCACAGCTGATTCAAACATTGATGCTATTAGCTCTGTTCGGTGAGAAATGACAGTAAAAATTATATAGCAACGAAATGTCAAAATTCCGCATTCGCCATGCAATTTTACTCCTTTTATACCTCTCCGAACGCGGTTTAATAAAATTTAGTGAAAAATGTCACTGCCTATCAGATCACCGAACACAGTTATTGATTACAGAGGTACCTCTTTTTTTTGAACCATCTACAGAACAGTTAAATTACAGGTCGTTTTTACTTATTGAAAGTCCATGAGTTTACTAACGGTACCGCTCTCCACTACTAATTTGTCGTACACATCTCTGGAAAGTTATTATGAAATGTTCTCAGTAACTAATAAACGTGCTCTAAAATATGCTTTGTCGGACTCTTCCTTTCAAATAACATTCATATATGCATCTTATCATCGAAACAACATCATACGTTAAAATGAACCCCACATTGCAGGCATGTCCAGTGGTTTAGAAAACTCGGCAGTGACAAGATTTATGCGTCGAACATTGGAGAAAAAGTAGAAGTGGCGAAAGGTCATGGAAAAGGAAGACATCGACCTGCATGGACAAGACTTCTGGAGTAAGCTCAATAACATGTTGAGGAAGTGAAAGGACTTTATAGTTTATTTTTATGTTATAACGACAATCGGTGAGGTATATTTGACGGCGAACAACGCAGCAGTCAGTCAGTCACAAAGTGAATTCATTGGTGACAACAAAGGCATAAAGTGGAAAAAGTATTGTTACGATTTTACTGAATCAACCTCGATTATTTTCTAGATCCTTCGGGTACGATCTCTGGATTGTTAAATAAAAACTCGCCAACTTAGTTTGCAGTTTCTTTCGTTATAAAGATTCTATCTAATGTCCTTTATTCTCTCAGTAATTCACAATTCAATTATACTGCACTTTACTATTTATAATCACTAACATCAACTTTCACAATTTCCTCTACTTAAATGTAATTCCCTACGCGTTCACTTTACGTCTTCACTGATGTTAACGCCAACCAATTTGCTTTGTCACTGCTTGACTTGCAGCTGAGTGTCGCCTTTATATAGCAGTCGGCTGCTCGCAGACGAAAGCGTAGAAGCATCGAATTGTTCGCTATGGAAGGTTCTTGTGTTATCGGCTTCTCTCTTTCATCTGACATTCGCCTCGCATTTTCGCAACAGTATAGTGTTAGAGTCTCTTTATTGAGAATTAAAAAATTGTACAACAATCTGGTAACTCTAAAAAAAAATCCAACGAAATGGTTGCAATTTCGAATAGTCTGTAAATGTTTTTTGTCCCACAGCCTTGCCCACGAACTGACCTTAATAAACAAATAACAGCTGATATATTTGTAAACAAACCCCTAGCAAAAGAAAATAAGGGGGTGTTTCTGGTTATTTGAAAATTAATGTATACATACATATCTATGTAGTTTGAAATTTATATATATGTTTCGGTGTACAATTGAAGTTGTGTTGCAAAAATGGAAAGAATTTTATTGTCGAATATTGCCGCAATTCTAGTCAAAGATGTATTGATAGATGATAACACAAAAAACACCCGCAATTCTTTCACAAATGAGTTTCCGCTTCTCGCTAGTGACACCGATGATGAAGCATTGCATTTTTTTCTGAAACAGCAGAGAAATGCTGTCAAGCGTAAAAAAGCCGAGGAACATAAAACAAGTACAGATAATCCAAATGGTAAAAAATGTAAGAAAAATGTGGTTGAGTCAAGCGCTCCAACTTCTTCCGACCAACCAAACAATGTAGTAGCCGTGCCGTATGAACCCATCAGGCGACAAAGTTTTGTCGAAATAAATTTGTTAAACAAGTTTAATACGACAGTTTTTGAGGGTTACTTACATATGAGTAAAATGACATTTTTGGTAAGTAATATCGGCAGGGAGTTTTGTTAATAGCATTTACATAAATATTATTTTTCTTTTCACATACAGCGGATTTTTAAACGTCTGCGGATGTATCTACCTAACGAACATGTTCCCACTGCTGCACCGCCACAATCGATTTTTTCACTTGCCCTTTGGAAATTATCTACGGATGAACATTTCGAAGATATTGGACGTAAATTTAACATAACAAAATATGTTTGCCAACAAGTAATCCGTTTATTTTGGCGACGGATTTCCGCACAATACGATTCTTTCATTCAATGGCCTAGTACGCCACAAAAACGCAATAACGCTATAACAAACTTCCAATCAAATCCAAAGCTAAACAAATTTCGACAACTCTTTGGTATTGTCGCTATTAAGCAATTGGATGTTTTCCTCGAAGCAGAGAATGAAGAAAGACAAGTTGTATTGCAAATCATATGTGATGCTGATCAAAAAGTTATTGATTGTTTTTTGGTGCTAAAAGATGACTACTCTTTTGATGCTTCGCCGATTGGACAAACATTAGCGCTAAACGTACAAACAATGCCACAAGGCAGTTATCTTATTGGCGACGAAAGCTTTCCCCTTAAACCGTATTTAATACGGCCGATAGGTGAACCGATTGATGACAATGAACTGGCGTTCAATGCAGCTTTGCAACCCGCTCTAAATATTGCCCAACAAGTGTTGGATGCATTGGCAAAACGTTTCAACGTACTTTACGCTTTAGAAGCACGTAATCTACATGAGGTACGAAAAATTGTCGATACAGTATGTGCGCTGCATAATCTTTGTATAGAAGTGGAAGATGACTATGTTGAACGGAAATTAAAAGATATCCAATTTAATTGGGCAAAGGGGTCATTTAGTCGAAAAGGGAAGACCGGAAATGAAAATGACATATTAGGACAGCAAAAGCGTGCTGGAATTATGGAAGATATACAAAACTGATCGAATGTAGAATAAATGTATACTTATTGATTATTATCGAACAAATAATGAATAAAGGAGGTTTTGAATAAAACTATTGTTAGTTTCAGCACAAACCTTTATTCCTACATATTAATTTCTTCTGTTGCTTTTCCTATACGCTATAAAATACTAACATTACAACAGTTACATTGAGAGGGATGTACATAAGTATGTCTACAATTTGTTGGCATATTATTACCTTTTATTGATGCGAAAGTTATTTCACAACTTGGCTGCACAATTGTAAATGATTTTTAAACTGAAATACTTAATTAACAATCTAATAAGGTACATAATCGAAATATAATAGCTTTTAATATAAATAAAATTCACTATATAAATTATATATGTATGTACGTATGGTTTTGTATAATATTTTTAAAAGTTGTTTTCGAGATTCAAATTAGAGATAGTTTACAATTTACGTATGTATATGTGTATTTATGTTTTTATGCACATAAAATAAAATTCGAAATATAAAATATAATAGAGAGTAAAATATAGGGATTAATAAGAGATCGGTTAATGATAGATAAATAATTTTTGTATATGTGTATATAAATAACAAAAATTAAGGAGAAATAACAAACTTACGTATGTATATATGTATATATAATTAAAATTGGAATGTTTTCGAGACATTAACGCAGCATTAAAATTCGAACTAATCGTAGTAAGCACATATGTATGTATGTATGTATATCAATATGCAATATGTACATATGACACATGTGCAATACCAAAAGTATAATTAATTGTGCAGTGACCAATTAACGGCCTTTTTACAATGTAACATTGTAGTTTATATATTTGCCACTATGTGCTAGTTGTACTCAAATTGAGATTATTGCTATTGCCAACACTACCACCGGTGCTACCACCTAATAACTGTAATAACTTTTGTCGAGTACGTTTATCGCTCACGCAAACGCATTGTATTAGATTCGTAAGTTGTTTTGTGGAATACTGTTCCAACTTGCTTTGTGTATCAATCCATTCTTCAAATTGTTCATTCGAGTAGTAATAAGCTTTTATAAATCCATCAACATATAAACGATGTTCTGGATATTTTTGGCTGGAAATCAACTCAAGTATGGACATGAAGTTTGTAAAATCAAGCTGCATTAGCGCACGACCACCAGCAGAACACTTTTTTACATTCGAAAAACTGAAAGAGAAGCAATCAAAATCACATTACATTAAAACGAATTTTAATAAATCTGTCGTTTTTACCCCTCCACTAGCAAATGCGTCGCAACATGAGCCATAGAATTCCAAATTATTTCACTAGGTAGAGTTATCTCTTTAGCGATTTCTTCCAATCGCATTGCAAAGCATTGTATATTCTAAAAATTTATGGAAAAATTTAATATTATTTATATGCATGTTTTTTTTTCATATTTTTTATACCTACCCGATTCATTATGTCAATATAGTTATTGTGTTGAAAGCTAACATGATTAACATCCCACTTTACTTTAGCCATCATTGTCAATACAGCCGGCAAATCAATTACTCGTGAGGTAACACATGTGTATACTGGTCGTGCAATATCAGCCATAAATTCAATATAATCGAAATATGCCGTTAAATCTGTGCGTTCCTGTGGCGGTAGTAAATGGTTGAGGTAATTGTGAAGCGTTTGGAATTGTTGCGTCATACAATGTCCACTCTCTACGGCAACTATGCGTTGAGATAGTCCATGTAATGTATCTGGATTCGCAAGTTCATTATTGATCTATAAGTAAATATATATAATTAAAAGTAGCAAAATGATAGTTAAGTTGGAATTTATACCAGGGATGAGAAGTTCAAAGGCCAAATTTTTATGTTTACTACAATATTTTGTAGAACCGATTGTAGTTTTTGTTCAAGACGTGCATTGTAGAATTTTTCCATTGTTACCGGCTGGAAGTAAATGTATTACATACATATAATATTACACGAAATTATTGATCAAATGATTGATGTTAACTACTTACAGCATCTTTGCCAAAAATTTCATGTACCGCAAAAGCGTAAAAGTCCATTAATTCCAACATGCTTGCAACAATTTTAGGAGAAATGCAGTGTAGCAATTTGCACATTTGCAAATAACGTCCAATACAACGAAATACATTTAATGTTGTGTTGTTGACAATAACAAAACCATTGCCACTTTCATCTTCATATTTGCTTTGCATACTTTTCTGTTCGTCATCGCTTTCCTCTGAAAAGTAGCAAGATGCCTCATCGACAATGCCAGAGAGAATGTCCTCTTCCAGCATAGCAACATCTAAGCCACCATCGAAAGGTGAACTCTTTTCAGAGAAACGCAAAAAATATCCATAGGAACCGTAAATGGAACTGCCTCCATCTTGTGAATGCACCGACACCAACTCATCGCAGTTATTATTACTTATAGGCGAGTTATTTGCAGATGTTGCTGAGACAAGTAGGCGCGCAGCAGGAGGTGATTTATGTCGTCTTAATGTATTGCGGACAGAACGAAATTCCTGAAAATAATAAAATGAAATTACGAAATACATATGTATATCTTCTTATGTTGATTAGCTCACCGGTAATTGTAATATATTTACAAAAGAATCTACCATTGTCCAAGATTCATTATCTAAAAATAAACATATTTCTTCGAGGCATGTGATGTGATAACGTTGGAAAAACTCTTGGCTTTGAATTTGCATTGTTTCAATCAATTTTTCAGATTGTTCACCACAAAACTCTAGGCCAACTTTCTTTAAACGCTGCACCACGGAAAGCACTTGTATGAATTGATCATACTTCAGCGTTTTCAATTTAGTACTTTGTAAGAAAATACATAATTTCGTAAGAATATCATTCCAAATGCGCGATTGACCTTTTTTCAGTTTTTCTTGTATGTAAGTATCGGGCGAGTCTTCCATATCAAGAGGATAGAGCTTGTAGTTTTGATGCCAGACTACTATTTGATAATAAGAGGCCAATATAGTCCAGAATGTTTTGCATAAGCTGATTAAGCAGGAAATGTATTTGTCGACTGTAACTTGTTCACAAAGCTGTTCGAAAAGGAATTTCATATTTTCATCGATACTGGGATCATTGTAGGCACGCAAGACCGAGTTTACGGAGGAATGTATAGCAGAAATGAAGTTGATATGCAGCTGTAATATTGCAACATTTTAAAATAGTGTAATCTAATCAATATGATAGCTATCTTACTTGATCCATAGCAATGAGAGATTTATTGAGTAGTTTGTAGGCCTCTTGAAGTTTAGCATATTTTCGCATATCAAAATTTAAAATCATCTGGAAATTTTCACAATTATTCAAGAGTATTATAGAAGCATTTATGTAAAGTATGTATACCTCGTTAAGCACTGTATCCAATTGGAATTCGGTTAACAAAAGTGTTTCTTGTAGTTTTTTATTCAAAGACTGAACACAGTTGTATTGCATATATTCCGCTGCAGAATCTTTACATTTAAGTAATAAACCAATAGCGCCAGAGTAATTGTAGTCGGAAAGAAATTTTTGTACCTCAACATCAGTAGATTTCTGTAAATGTCAAATAATTAGTAAAAATGTATTCATCATGGGAGTCAAAAGTAAGAAGTACACTCACCAACTTTTTTATGGCGAGCAATGTGCTTAAAAGCTCTTTAAGAATTTCACGCTTTCGGTAGGATGCTAATATTTCTAGACTGGTAGTTGTTAGATTGACTTTTGCATAATTTAAGTAAGAACGCGCTTTTCGACAGGTCCATAAAGACTCTTCTAACTCTTTTTGAATATCATTAATGGAGGCAAATTCTTCATTGCAAGCACTACGCTGCTCCAATATGTTTTGCAACACTTGCTTGGATAAAACTTTATGTTGAGTGCGCAATTGTGCAATTTTACCATCGATTAATTGGTAATTCACACCATCGCTAAGAACTTTCTATAAAAGAAATAAATAACAATACAATTTTTTGTTAAAAGAAAGAAAACTGGTTTTACAGCTTGACATTGACAAATCATGTATGAATTGTCGACTGACTACGTCACGAGTTTTCTCAGAATTGCATTTACCACTGGTATTAACTCACCCGCAATTCATATTGACCATGCACGTTACACTCCTCTTCCCCTTCAGCTTTAAAGTAAATTTCTTCTATGCTCTCCAATATTTCCTGGTCTGATTTTTGTGCGTGGGCAGCAGTATCTTCATCCGATCTAGAAGTCTCCTTTGACCCTATATCCGACTTACCATCACATGCAACTTTAGACTTGCTTGAAGGAACATCCGTTGGCTCAGTTGTCACAGTCTGTATGAAGTAATCGGAGAATCCCATTGCAGGAATTTTAACTTGCCTATTGGTCTGCGGTAAATATGGTAAGAATAAATTAACTGGGTGACGTTATTCACGATTAGTTTTACCTGTTTATGCAGCAAGTCCATAAATTTTGTTTTAAATTCATCCATTTTTGCTTTCGGATGATGCATTTTTTTGCTAACCCAATTGGGAGATCTTCCAAATGTGTAACAATAAAAATGACAATTGTGAAAACTGGTATGCAAGGTTGCATTTTCAATTTAAATGATAATTAGGGAGCCCTATTTTATAAAAGTGGTTGTTATTGTTTCAACTATTTAATTTTCAACTAGCTCCAATCTACGTACGAGGAAGGACTGGACTTCCGTAATGGAAAAGTTAGGGTAATTATGGAACACAGCGGCTTTTGTTAAAACTGAGGAAAAATTATGCTAATCATTAAATAATTTTTTTCATATAAGCATTTGAATAAGTTTACGCACTTAAAATCTACTTTATCGATACTGCTTCTGTCAATCATCGATTACAGTCGAAAAATATATTAAGTCACTATGTGTAACGCAAAAATATTAGTTAATTATTTACAAAAAATGACTTTTATAGAAAATACTTAAAATTTAAAGCAGTTAATAATAAAATGTCGATTCGAAGTGTTAAAAATAGTAATGCTGAGACTAATTTAGCAGGTTTATTGGCTAATTTGAAGAAGGCTTGTGGTTTATGGTTCCTTAATGAGCAATCTGCGAACGAAAAACTGAAATGTGAAAAGTTTCGCTTTTCCTCTTATGAAAACATAATAACAACAACTGTAGAGATACTACGTCATGGATTGTGCATTAAGCTGGAAGATACCATGACGGTAAGTTGAACTATGTTCTGTTGAAAAAAGGGAATGATAAATTAACCAGGAGCATAGAGACATACAAAAATACATATGTACATGGATTTAAACAAATATCTATCAATCGTGTTGGTGTGTATGCCATTCTCTAAAATAAACCTTGGATTATATGCGAAATAATTTTCAATGCAGTTTCATTCATTTCAATTTTAATCATACGTACATACACGCCATTTTAAAATAATGTGATTTAACTTATTTTTTAAGGATAATATTCCTATTGGAAGTATTTTGCATAACGGTGCGGAAGGTTTTATAAAGCTTGTGGATGATTTTGAATGGGTTTGCAGATTGGCGCAAATACGCGATTCATGCGCAACTGATTTCTCAAAAAAACCCTCTCCTGATGAGTATATAACTGAAACAAATTTTACATCAACTGCAGGTGTTGACAAAGAACACTATGCTATTGAATCTTTTCTTCGCTCTTGGGTACAACGTAATCTACAGTCAAAATATTTAAGCGTTTGTCTGCAAGTGTTAGTTGAAGAAAAAGAGTTGATCAATGCATATTATAGCGAAAATTCATTTCTAAGAAATGAGGCGTATTCAACCTCGCTTTTCATATGTTTATCCGCTGTAGAATTGAATCAACACAGTCTACTAAGCCAAATAGATCCCAAACTATATAATCCAAGGCCAATCATTGGAGAATTTCCTGCCAACTCTGGTAATAAGCACAGACGCACTACATCACATCCAATATTTTCGATTTGTCCTTCCACAAATTCAACTGCTAACAAGACTGACGAAAAATGTCTCGAAAATAAACTGGAAAACAAAAGGGCAAAGGATAACATCAGTGAATTGGTATGTATTTAGAAACCATTCATTTATGTATTTGTTATTAATCCCAAAAACTTCACTTCTCTCTTAGACTAGAACACAAAAGCTTTCAACGAATTCCATTCCTAATCTTCAATTTACATTTCGTAAAACTAAAAGTCTTCCAGCATTACAATATAAGCCTTATGTATCATTTGAATTATTTTTCAATGAGAGACAAAGACCACGATCAAAGACGGTGGCTATTACGTCGAACCATTCACTCCAAAAGGATATAGCACCGTCATTAACAACGTCGAATACGCCTACTTTGGAATCAGATAAAGCCATCACACCAAAATCAAGTGACGGGAGTAGTACGTACTATTCCGATTTCAATGCTAATAGTCATACAACAACCACATCAGGTTCAACCTTCACTGACCGCGATAGTGTTGACCTGGAACCTACGTCTGCGTTTCCCCAGAACCCTGCGAAACTACAGGCAACCAGCGCGTCTTCCATTGCATCATCAAGTACAACAATGGCTCATCGCATTGAATTAATCAAATGTGATGATATCAAAATTTGGACTGATCAAGCCTACGAACGAGCTCAAAAGGACACAGAAGTGCCAATAACTCACCCTTGTACCATACCTAAAAATTTGGAACCCTTGAAACAGGTAATGTGGAGCATTTTTTTCACCCTTATTAAATTTCACAATATTTCTATAAAACTTATAGAAAGCGAAAAGTGCTAGCCCTATTGGCAGTTTTTTATGCAATCTGTTCAGCACGCCCCCAACATATACGCATTGGTCGATTAGTCATCAAGACGATAAGAGCTATGCTGACGATACTGCTGTCGCCGCCGCTGCTACAGCTTTTCCCTGTAATATAAAACAACACGAAGATATTCCGACGATTTCTACTGGTGGTGTTTTCGATGCCTTCATGCCTGTGTGTGGGAAAAAGTTACGTTCACGTCACTCTCAGTGCCTCTTTGAAGATGGCATTAGTACGCTCGATTATAAAACTTCAGCTAATGATTCTTCCAGTGTAATAACAGGCGAAAATGGTGCGAAATTACTTGAAACACCTAAATCACTGCCAAAATCTCAACAAAGTCTAACTGATTTTTTACAAACATCACAAATGTCAAGGAATAATACCGATTTGGAAAAGGAGAATGCGCATTTCCTTGTGTCCGAAGCGATAATCTCGGCAATCGAACACATAAAATGGGATAAAAGCACCGAGCCAGATAAGAAATGGCGACGTTACAAAAGAAAAGGTATTTTATATGAAGAGTGAATGAATCATCAGTGAATATGATAGAAAATAAAATCAAACCATTTTATTATTTATTTAGAAGCAAGTCAATCCACAACAGCCATAACAGCCACAGATTGCTTGGCAACTGATAGCGCACACAGCAGTAAACCAGTTTCAGAGGTATATACATATGCGCTTAAGCTTTTATTCAGTCAATATCATAAAATAAATCTAATTATTGTAGTATACCCGAGAAGATGAGGCCAGCGAACACATTCCCTACGCTGAATTAGAAGAAAATTGCCTTGATTCTCTATCCGCTGAAGTTGTTGGTCTATCATTAATTTCAAAATTCAACGATAAACATCTACCGAAAGTATCGGAGCTTAAATGGTTGGTTTCTGAAGAGGATACTCCACAACAACTTTTGCCTATGCCAGATAATAGTCCTACATCGAATCCGGACGAAAATGTCATACGGCCTATTACACGCGGAACGCGATATTGGGCGCCACCACGCCAACAAATCATCTTCACCGACCATCCGCTGACAAGGTAATTTCTTTAATTTATAATAAATTGAAATTCTATTTTTATAATCATGTGTATAATGTATTTTATTTCAGCCGCAAGGAAATGATACAAAAGCAGAATAATCGTTGTGCCGGCTGTGGTATGAGAGTTTCACGCCAATATATTAATAGCTTTCGTTATTGTACGTACCTTGGTAAATATCTTTGCACCGGTTGTCATCGCAATCAAATGTCTCCAATTCCAGCGAAAATTTTACAATCGTATGTAATATTGTCAAAATCCAACAACTAAATTTTATTTAAAATTGATACACAAAATCTTATATATTATATTTTTTATTTGTTCACATATCCAGTTGGGATTTCAAGTGTTATTCTGTTAGCGTATTCGCCTATCGTTTGTTGGATCAAATGTATACCTATCCGTTATTTTATGTACCAGACTTGAATCCAGTGCTTTATATAGAAAACAAATCACTCTTATTAGCTCGTAAAAAACGCCAGCACCTGAAATTCGTGAGAGATTTTGTAAAAACTTGTCGATTTGCAGTGAGGTAAGTTAAAATGTTCAATAAATCTTACAAATTATCATGCTACATTTAATAAATTATAATAACTAATAAATACATACTTTCAGAGAGCAAGTGTACTTCGATGGCATACCAGAGCATATTGCCAGCGATCCTGATGTTTGGTCACTTTCAGATTTCATTGATGCGAATAACAAAAGCATGCAGCATTCCATTGATCAGCTCATCGAAAAATGCGAACAGCACATCTTTAGTTGCGTGGTGCGTTTTAGTAACGAATATGAATAATTTTAAACACTGACACAATTTCCCAATTCACAAACATATCATGCTTTTATTATCACTACAGCTCTGCACTGCACGTGGTTTCGTTTGTGAATATTGTCAAAAGGATCAGGTTATTTATCCGTGGCAACAAAAGGTATTTCGTTGTGACCGGTGCGGTGTATGCTTTCATATGAGCTGTTGGAAGTTAATGTTCAACACATGCTGTAGATGCCAGAGAATTAGCAAGCGACAAGAAGTTGCGATTGCCTGAGTAGCAATGCAAGTACTTCCTGCTGCTGTGAGTTCCATTATGTACCTTACCTCGAATTTGTGTGCAACGACGTTTAAAAGAATGTTGAGGAGAATACTACATATATATATATATATATATATGTACATATATATTATATTTAGTAGAGTTTTCGTTTAATGTATTACTCAAGCTAATAGAAAAATTAGTAATTTACATATTTATACAACTTTCGTTTTCGTTGTGTTCCACTACAATATCACTACTGTAAAGACGTTTCACTAATGTTTTTTTTGCAGACATACAAACCAAACGAATTTTTTCCCCAATTCAAGAAAACGAAGTCGAAGCATTAATATTAGTCAACTTTTTTTGTTTTAATCCTTAGGAATTATTTAGTGTTAACATTATGTATTTAAATCTTTGCTTGGTTTTAGTTTTTTTTTTTTAGTTTTTTTTTTTTTTTTTTGCTGCAACAAAGCATAGAAAAATGTATGACCGCAAAGTTTTAAAAATGTTTTCTATATTTTAAAATTAAGTGTTGCTATAATTGTATTACATTAATTAATTAATTTTTTTTTTCAATTAAGTTTGAACTAATTCAATTTGTAAAAGTATACCCAGTATTAGGCAGAATTAGTTTTAACAAAGATCTTTACGAGTTATTTTTATGCAATTTCTTTTTTTTTACATTTGTAAGAGGATTCACATATATGTATATAACATTATGTATACGAACAAAAATATTATTTAACCCTAATGTGTGACTAACGGATTTACAATTATATGATTAAGAGTCTGTGTTATTTTGCTGATTAGTATTTGGTAATAAATTTAAAAAAAAAACAACGCAGCATAAAATATTATCACTTTTATACAGAATAAAATTTATTATACAAGTATAAATACATATGTATTTTCATATGACTTTGTTATGTTTTTGGGTTAAGTTTTTAAGGGTAAAAGTCTTTCATGTCACGAATTTTCGGCGTTATTTACTATACAAATTTTTTTAAGCGAGTATTGCTGAGATGTGAGAAATAAAAGTTTTATAAAAATTGGTAAAAATACTTACTGCTCATCAGCTCGCCGAACAGACCTGTTGCTGTAATTTTGAAATCAGCTGACCGAAAACGAACAAATCTAACAGATAACAGCTGTTGTCAGCACACATTTCGCATGTGAAAAATGTAAATACAGTCTAACTCAACACTTTCCGAAAATAAAAACAAAGAAGAAGTTTCACAAATTTCATCAACAAATTAATGAATTTTAAGTTTTTTTTACGTTTAATTAAAAAAATGACTTTGGGTGAAAATGGCTCAACATTGGATTACCGTAATAAAGTAATAATGGCGCCCATGGTGCGTGTTGGAACATTACCCATGCGTTTACTGGCGCTTGAGTTTGGAGCTGATATTGTTTATACCGAAGAATTAATCGATATGAAGTTAATGCGTAGCAAAAGACGTGTCAATGGTTAGTAAATATTGTAAAAGAATTTTACTTGTATTAATTTTTATCACGTTGCAGCTGCCTTGGGCACCGTTGACTTCGTCGATCGAAGTGACGGCACAATTGTATTTCGCACTTGCGCCAAAGAACGTAATCAACTTATACTACAATTGGGAACCGCTGACGCTGAACGAGCATTGAGTGTGGGAAAGTTAGTAGAGAAAGATATTGCTGGATTAGACATAAATATGGGTTGTCCTAAAGAATTTTCCATCAAGGGAGGAATGGGCGTAGCATTACTTGGACAGCCAGATAAGGCAGAACATATTCTAACCACTTTATGCAAAAATTTAAGTATACCAGTTACCTGCAAAATTAGGTGAGTTTAAAGTTATGAAAAAAATGCAATAAATAATGTATTTCTAAAAAAAATACAGAATATTGCCTGATTTGAATGAAACTATTAAACTGGTTCAGCGATTTGCATCTACGGGTATAGCTGCTATAGCGATACATGCTCGAACGCGTGATGAACGGCCACAGCATGCTCCACATCCTGGTATGTACATATAAAAAAAACCATAAAAATATTTTTTTCATTTATCAGACATACCGATCTAATTCTTAAATAGATTTTATACGTGAGATAGCAAAAGCTGTAAATATACCAGTGATAGCAAATGGTGGCTCGAAAGACTTTCACAAATACAAAGATTTGCTCAGCTTTCGCGACTTGTGTGGTGCCACCAGTGTCATGGTGGGCAGAGCTGCACAGTTAAACGTTTCAATTTTCCGCACAGAAGGTATGCTTCCAATGGATGAAATAATAGTGAGATATTTAAAATTAAGTGTCGACTACGACAATCCAGCACACAATACCAAATACTGCGTGCAAAACATACTCAAAGAATTGCAGGAATCACCGCGTGGTAAACAATTTTTACAATGTCAAACTCTACAACAAATGTGGTAAGGATACTATCGCCTTCGCATATGTTTGTTAAATAAATTTCATAAAATCTAGTGAACAATATCAATTTCAGTGAAATCTGGTCGCTTGGGGATTATTGTTATCGGAAACAATTGGAACAAAAAAAGCTGGGGAACTTTGGCAGGCGTGAAGTAGCACCGGGCGTAATACCTGATGACGACACTGTGGACGAGCCCGAAATGAAGCGTCAAAAAATGAATGCACCTCCTCTAGATGCCGATATTATTCAACATAATATTGCATTTTTGCGTTCAAACTACAGCAACGGTTAGTAAGCAGCATGATAATATTTTTTACAATGTTTTTGATGCTGATTTTTACAACAGATACTCAGTTACCTAAGACCAGGCTTTACACATATGCCGGCCGCAAGAATTTAGCAATACCGCAATACGAAACCCAAGGAATAGATAAACTTTTTCGGGCCATTTGTACTTTCAATGGGAAACGGTATACGAGTTCATTTTGGGAAAAAAATAAGAAACAGGCCGAACAGGGTGCAGCACTTGTGTGTCTTCTAGAAATTAGTGAAGTAACCGAGAATGAATTAATAAAGAATGGTAGCATTTTAAGGTGATATTGATTGGTCTGTTACGCATTTGCTTCCTGTAATTATGTATATTAGCAAAAATAAAATAATTTTCACAACCGTAATAATAACGTGACATATAATAACAATAACGGTGTAAATTAACTTCTCTAAAAGATGTTTTGTTTAATTTATTCATTATTTTAATATTTAGTATGTCAGCTATGCATAATTTGAATTACGTATAACGCGTTTAAATATAATTTCCTTATTATGTTTTTCATGTCTAAATTTGGAAAATCTCCGCTCGTAAACATTTATGTCGGTTGTGAATAAATGTTATGCATTCTATGTTTAATTTATATTAAATGATTCATTTAACCGTTTCATTGCTGTTCGTCTTGCAACTCTTTATGATGATAGTCTTGTTGCTGTTGTTGTTTTTGTGGATGTTGTTGCATATGCTGCGGCTGGCAGTGCTTTTGCTGCTGATGATGGTGTTGCTGTTGTTGTTGTTGTTGGGGGTGGTGTTGTTGCGGTTGTCGTTGTGGTGGTGGCATCATATCACTATCATCTTTAAAGCCATAGTTAGCAATAAAATCGAGCAAATAAGCCTTCGTAATAGGATATCGAATACTTTCACAAACAGCTGTAAGAAAAAGGAGTATTTTTTTTTAAATAAAATAAACTCTTGTACCACTTCTGCTGAAATTTTCTTACACACTGCTGTATTGTAACTGTTTGGCAGCATTTTGTCCGTTCGCTCACGCATGAATTCCCATTCTCCTTGGGAGTTGACAGAACATTCAATTATCTTATTATCTAAGTCCTTTAATGCTTTCGTATACTTTATTTTGGCGAAATTACTTTCCAAGCCACCAACAAACAGCAAGCCCACCTTACTGGTTAATATACTGAAAGATCGAAGTAATTTAATATTTATAAATTAAATTCCAAAGAAATGCTTTCTCTAACCCCTGTCCGTTTTCTACAGCAATTTTGAGCCGAAAATCTATCGAGTTCATATGAAAAGGCTTCCATTTAAGTACATCTGAACAAACACCCGCAGTGTAGGGCTGTAAAAGTAGTAAATTAAACAAAATATATTAATTAAAAATAAATAAAAAATGCATAAATTTCTATTTATTCTTACTTGTTTTGAAGGTTGAAAAATTAAACCATCAGGTTCATGCAATAACGACTTCGCAAATTTTTCTCCCAATAATGAGGCAGATGTGCGAATGTCCCAAAATTCTTTATGACGTATGCTGAATGGTTCCAACGGTCTATTGATCAATCCTTTCGTTATAGCCTCATAGCGGGGTTCTAAAATAAAATGCCACGCTTGAATTAATTACCATTAATTACATGAGCTTGTTTGAGTGCCACTAACCGATAATCTCTTTTTTAATACACCGCAATCGATCTGGAAAGAACGGTTTAGAACCAATATCTAAATTCGAAATTTTAACTACGTCGTATATAAGGTAGCGGGGTATGGATTCACCATTAAGTTTGTCTATTACCATTTCCTAAAAGAAGAAGTGATTAATTGAGAAATGGTTTAATTTAATAATAGTAATAATTGTATATTTACTCCGTCTATAAGCGTATCTTCCAAGTGTTGAGTTAAATTACCGGCCTTAACGAAAGATATATTCTCCACCTGAAAGCACGAGTTGTTACGATCGAAAAAGTAAATCTCATCACGTTTGTTAATAAGCATCATATACCTAGCGAAGAAAAGTCAATAAAAGAAAATTTATATGTTATATTGAATTTACCGCGATCCGTCGGCTTTCCATGATACTCTATATGGTATTTCATGCAAACGTTTTATATTATTCCTATCCATAGACACTGGTTGAGCCCCTGGGAAACCGCTCTTTTTCCAGCCACACATTTGCTGTACCTTTAGCTGCAATTCACCCAGTCTTGGTTGATCGGTAACAAGTACAACGCCCGGTACGCCGTTCATAAATGTTGCATTTTTTACTACCAATTCCTTGCGTCGTTTCTTTTTATGCCCACCACCATTCGAAGCACTTGGCTCCTCTGATTTATCATCTTCATCGCCATCTTCGTTATCATCGTCATTAAAATGATTTTCTTCTTCGGCTTTTCGCTTAAGCAAACCACTACTATTTGAGTTGTTTCCATCACTATCATCGTACTCTAAAGACCAAGCTGGTAAAGGCGGCGCGGGCAGAGCATCCTCCTCATCGTCATATCTTCGAAATAGTTCATTTATGTAGTCCTGCTTGTATATGCCTGGAGGACGTGCTTCTGCAAATATGGCTAGAGCGGCTTCAATTGAATAATCAAGACGTTCTACAAGGTAAGACGCAATCAAGAATCCTGTTCTATTAAAACCGTGAGTACAATGAACGCCGACAATATTAAAAGGACGTTCATTAATAAAATGATCCACTATCTCAATAAATGAGCGTGTCTGTTCTGGCGATGGTGTTTCTCCGTGTCCGCGACACTGTAGCTTCACATACTGAGCATTGTGTGATTCGACAATTTGACGATCATAAAAGCGTTTTGTATTGGTCAAATCGATCCAAAGGCCCAAGCTCATCTGAAATAATAAACTATTAATGTTTGCTATTTTTGAATTTTTCATTGTAAAAAAGAAACTGGCTAATCCAGAAGTATTTACATTTTCGCCTACAGACATATGTATATACAAAAGTATTTCTGTATACAGTATAGGCGACACGTTGCAGGGAAAACTCACTTACCTTTGTCGTTTTGCAGTAACCAAATATCATTTCTGGAGGAAAAAGACATTCTTGTGGCATTTGATCATCGAATGCTCTGCTTAATGGTGTTTTAAAAGCTAAAAATCGCTCAGCAATTATAACTTCACTTTTCCGTGGACAATGTAGCCAACGATTTGGTATTGGACCTGGTCCACCCTTTGAATTTCGTGACATCCTTCCAATTCAGCACTTAAACACCTAGGTAATGGTGTGCGCCTTCTAATAGGATATTACCGAATGCAAATTGATATTAAATTGCCTGAATAAACACTTATAGCTGCTTTAAACAAAAATATGTGTGAAAACACTATCACAAGAAAATAAAATTTGCACCAATTCTGTCATTCTCAGCTGATAAGCACGGATGGTAAAAGTTATTTAAAATAATCGAGTTTTTATTTCCAATTCAACACGGATAAAAATCGATAGCCTAAAGTGGTGCTCTTACGAAGAGCAAATCGCTTGAATCACTTGAAAATTATTCAAATAATACATTTCATTTGGACTTTTCCAAGCTCAACTTAAATTTTCTTAATTGTTTATTTTGTCCAAGTGAATTTTAATATTTTTGACTCCACAGTGACTTTGTTGCTCGGGAAATCCATTCTTCCGCTACATGTTATTACGATAAGAGTTCGCCATATTATGCTTTAATTTAATCATATAATATTTAATCTAAATTAGTTATTGTACTGTTAGATTAACTCATTTGCACAGTTGTTTCCCAATAAGATTGAGTTTGTTCCGGAACGATAAATAATTTTTTTCAATTGCTATACTGTTTACTTAATTTTGCAATTTTCATTGTCTCTTTATTACTACCACCGCAAAATACGTTTTTCGATAAAACTTGTTCCATTCAATTGTTCAATGCAGTAATTTATCATTTTCTTTGCGGCTTTCTCATATAAACTCAATAGCTATATATATCAACAAAAAATACCAAAATCCGGTGCGAATACCGCTAAAGCCACAGTCCGCAAAACTCGTTTTCAAAATATTTCCGATGTCGGTTCGAAGAAGGCATAAATAATAAGATATAACCATCCACGAAACATTAGTTCAACCAAAGCGGAGATGTGGTGGTTGCAAAATACGAAAGTTTCAAAACCTGCCGTTAGAATAGAAGTTCTGTAATAGAGAGATGGCAAAACAAAGTTTTAACTTATTTAGTAATATGCACCCTATAGTTAAATTTCTGTTCACTTGGAACGTTCTTAACAGTACCCTTTCTGTTTCGTTTCAATATTTGCAATACTTCTAGCAGAGAACGTGAAACAGAGGTTGGGGCTTTTTTCTTTGGTCAAAAATTGCAAAATATATTGAGTGTTATTTATTAAATTCTTAGATCAAAATGTCAGACACTGAAAAAAATATTCCAGAGGGATGGGAAGTGCGCAAAAGTCGTTCTACCGGTAAGCTATATAATTGGAAAAATGCAATAGGTTATTAGCTAGTTGCTGGCATTTCGTATGTATATATAAAATAGTATATGTATGTGGTTTTGAAAATTTTGTAACATTTTATATTTTATAGGGTTGACGTATTATTTAAATATTTATACAAAGGAGTCCCAGTGGGATTTACCTACTGAACCCGCAAAGAAGGAATCGTCAGGTCCTAGTGAAGTGCGATGTTCACATTTACTTGTAAAGCATAAAGGCAGCCGGCGGCCTAGTTCTTGGCGTGAAGAAAATATAACGCGTTCTAAGGATGAAGCACGTACGATTTTAGAAGACTATCGTAAGCAAATCGAGTCTGGTGAAACTACACTTGCCGCCCTTGCCACCAAGTATTCGGATTGTAGTTCTGCAAAACGTGGCGGTGATTTAGGACCATTTGGAAAAGGTAAAAAAATGACATTTTAATATGCTTAGCAATTCTCATATAACTTAATTTTTTTATAGGCCAAATGCAAAAAGCGTTCGAAGACGCAGCATTCAGTTTGAAAGTTGGTCAGATGTCAAAAATTGTTGACACAGACTCTGGGCTACATATAATTCTCCGGACAGAATAAATAACGAGTTCTTTAATATAATACATAGCCTCCAGTACCGGAGTATTGAACTAAAAAGCGCATTTCAAAAAAACTATTGTCTTAACTTTTTTTTATTTATCTGATCATATATATAAAGTTTTATGCTTTCTTATTACGTCTATAACTTTAGCTCAATAAGTAATTCATAAGTTGACGATAAAACCAAATTAAAATAAATCAAACAACAAAAAAATTCTATTACAGCTCGATTTTATTTAGTAACAACTTCTGTCCTGCACCGGTACCCTTTTTAAGTTCCTCACATAATGGCTTCAGCAGTTCTTTTAAGGCTGACTTGGTAGCTTCATTATTTTGCTCGAAAATGTTCAGCAGGATGAAACAAGCCCTGTTAATACTTATCCAATTTCTTAGCTGTAGGATATATTTCATATTAGCATAAATGATAATAATAATGTAATAACGTGCTTCTTACAGTTTCAGCATCAATTTTCTTAACCAGAATTGAACCAAATGTTTCAGCATCAACGTTTTGCGCCAAGCGTTCTTTATCGTTTTTAATAATCTTTTTCAATACTATGTGCATGCCAGGCTCTTCTATACCTCGTACAGTTATTGCGGTTGTTTCTTCAATGATTTCTTCATCGGATGACTCATTTTCCACTTCTTTGTCCTGAGCATTTGCTGCCAAACGTTTTGCTTTCTTCGCTTTGGTAGCCTCCGTAATTATTTTCTCCACATCATGTACGTTCTTTGTATTTTTCACCTTGCCTTCCTCTTCAACTGTTACTGTCCATGTTGGATCGACTATAACCTCTGCAATGGCACTTGTAGCTTTTTCAAAGTGTTCTTGACTTACTGTAAAATATATACATAATTAGTGATATATACCATATTTTTGATTTTTAACTGATATTTACATTTCTTTAATATTTCAGCGGTGACGAGACCTATGTGACGATTAGAGACCCAAAAATTCGGATGTCCGGCAATCGTTGTTGCTAAAGGCTCTTCGATTTGTTCAAAAATTTCTTTACGTCTTAAGCTTTTATCTTTTTTTCCATATTGCAAACCATCATCAACGCTCGAAATAAAGCTGGGATGAAAGCAATTAGTATCAGCTGGGGCTACAAACCATTCAATCACACGACGACCCCACTGATTTGACATCAGTGTTTCCAATTCAGGATGTAGGGTATCATATATAGCTTTTTTAGTTGCTTTTGTATCGTCAAGTGAGTTTATTAATGCAAGTAAAAATATGTGTCCCTGCTCATGCGTGCTAATTTTGATCAAGTGCTCTTTTATAGTCTTTATAATAGCCTAAATGACGAAAGATTTACGGATTATTGTAATTAGAGTCTTAACTAAAAAGATGATGAAACTTACTCGTCTATTTTTTGGTGTAGATTTATAAAAACATATAACAGCGGCTTGAGTGCCATCCTTAGTAGTCAACATGAGAGGTATAAGAGGGGCAAATGCACTAACAGTCTCTTCTATCTTATCTTCTTCACACTCTTCCAAATACTCCAAAATCACAGCATGTACTAAGGAATTATCTACCAGTTGTTTGTTAGCCAAATGATCGATGTTGGATTTAACTGCACTTAAAATTGACTTCTTCATATTAAGTGAGTCTTTGTAGGTATCAGTGAGTTTTTTAACATGCTCATCTTTTGAATTACGATATAGTTCTCCATAAAATTCTTGTCGAAGATTTATCCGCTGTTTTGGGCTCGCTACAGTATGATATGCGTGATCAAGAATCTTGCTAGATATATTGTGTCCAGCCAAACGTACCACATTTCCCATAAAACTGTCGACAAGCTTGGATTTAATAGCCGGAGAACCGTACTTGAACATTCGCAAGACGCAAAAATGAGAATATTTAGATGTCGCCATTTCAACAACATACGGTAAAAGTTTCTGAAAACATATTTATGAAGATTTTCTTTGTTTATCAAAGAACATTTCATGTGTATCTTACCTCTGAGAGTTCATCACGAAGTGTAGGCGAGGCAAACTTCAGCATGCATTGGATGATGCGGGCCGTGTCGTGTGCCATTATTAACTTTTTTATCACATCTCCTCTGTTCAGAACGTTATATAGCTTTTCCACCAGGTCAGATTTCTTTTCCGTACGACGACTTAAAATATAAACAAATATTATATCTACACTAAATTTGAAGTATTTATGTAATTTGTTACCATTTTAGTTTTTCATAGATTTGTTTAGCTTCCACCGATACCTCATACGAGTCCTTGGCTTGCTTACGTTTAAGTTTCAGTTCTTTTTTATCTTGTTTAAATTTGCGCCAGTCGGTTTTTTCACCATCAGCAGGTAAGTTGCCCTTTACTCCTGGTTTATTACTTGAGGAATTTTTATCAAATTTCCGGATATTACCAGGCTTTCCTGCAAATTTATTGTTTCCAGGCTTTCCAGCAAATCTATTTAAACTAGGCTTTCCAGAACCCTTTGTCGGAAGTTTGCCTTTAGATTTGTTTTCTGCTGAATTTAGTTTATTTCCGGATTTATTTGGTTTGATTAAGCCTCCATCTTTAGCTGACTTATTCCCTCCCTTGATTCCATCAAATTTTGTTGACTTCTTTTTAACTGGACCATCACTATCATTTTCTGACAAACGCTTTTTTGTTTTAATCATTTTTAAGTGTAATTTGTTTAAAATATTGTAAAACTTTGCTACAAATAACCCACGTGCGTTTAGAATGTTTTCTTTTTTGAGGCAAATGATATCTACATTTATTGCAACTCTGTTGGTTCGTTTCTACATCGTTCCGTGTCATTATTCCCATTGTATCGGCCAACGTTGAATTTGTAAATTTCTGTACTACTTTTTCAGTGCTTCTGTTTTTTTGCCACAATTTTTCACGGCGTCTTCAAAAATAAGGTACGTTTTGTGTGAAATAAAGCTAAATTTCCTAAAGATTTTTGTTATTGAATATTGGTATTTGTAGAATTTGAGCAATAAAACAATATTCTTTAGCAGGAAAGTAAGATTTATTGGAAAAACAATAGAAAAGTTGATAAGCGGTGAAAATAAAAATGGGGAGAGTTCATAAGAAAAAAATCGCAGAATATGCGGAAACGGCTGAAAATGAAAACGAACAAGATGAGGAAACTAAAAAGGGCGCCACTGTGGAGTCCAATAGCGATGAGTCGGAAGTTGAAGGTGGTGGTGAAGAAGGTGATGATGGAAAGAAAAAACAAAGCGTTGTAAGAGATCAATCACATCCCGAAGGGAATACCGATGATGAATTCCATTCTGTACAGGGTAGCGGCACCGAAGATGATCAGGAGGACATAGAGGAGGGCAGTAGCGGTACTAGCGGAAAGAAGGGTAATAAGCGCAAGGCAGCGCCGGAAAAGATGGAAGATGGAGATGATGACAATTTGGACAGTGATGATGAGCCATTAAATGGCGGCGGTGGTGGTAGTGCCAAGAAGGGGCGAAAAGCGGCAGGAGGTGGTAAACAGAAAGCTGCTGGAAAAAATGGCAAAGCCGCTGGAAAGCGTGGAAAAGGAAAAAAGGCGCCAGCCAAGTCTCAAGTCGTTGAAGAAGAACAAGAGGGCGGAGAAGAAGAAGAACAAGAAGAAGAAGAGGAAGAAGTTTATGAGGTAATGGGATCTTTATATTTTGTATATACCCGATTCTAGTTTAAGTTATCGATGACTATTTTTTAAATGATCGATTAGATTTACATTTGGATAATTAATTTATTTATTATAATTTATATAATATTATTTCATTTAAAAATGCCATATATACATTTTTAAATTAAAATTAAAGAAATATGTACACTGCTAATATAATTTTGTAGGTGAAAGACATCGTGGGTCAAAAAGTAGAACACGGTGTTACCTACTATTTGATACGTTGGAAGGGCTACACTAAGGAAGACGACACTTGGGAACCAGAAGATACTCTATCTTGTCCGGATATTATTGAAAAATTCAAGAATAAGGTAAAATATGAAGTAACGTGAACAATGAACAGTTTAGTATATACATTGTTATTCCTTAGCAATCGACAAGTAAAACCAACAAGAAAAGTGGCGCGGCAACCAAGAAAGGACGCCCGGCAAAGGGCGATCTTGCTGCTGATCCAAATAAAGAATGGGAGGTCGATAAGATAATTGATTATGCTGAGGAGAAAAATCAACGCGTTTTCCGTATACGTTGGAAGGGATTCGGACCCAAGGCTGATACATGGGAACCAGAAGAGAATTTGTCATGTGATGAAATTATCGATAAATTTATGAAGCGCATGAAATCACAAGAGAATGTATCATTTAAAGAATTACGTGAAGAGCCGAAAAAAACGAAAAGACTCGTAAATGAAACATCGCCACGTACAAATTATCATAATCCGATAGGTCGTAAATCCAAACGCGCTGTATCAAAAAAGAGGTATGAATAGCGAAATAAATTTCCAAATCTAATAAAAACTAAATAAAACAAATAATTTGCAGAGTTTACTATGGCGATAGTGATGAGTAATTTGGAATTTGGAAGACATGATTTTTTATGACTCTTATTAACTTTTTTTTTTTTTTTTTTTTTTTGAAAATAAACATCATATATTTTTTTTATATCCGGCAACACTGCATGTAGCATTGCATTTTAACTTTATGTGCAAAAATTATACTCTGAAAATTTAAATTTTAATCCACATTAATTATTGAGTCCTATTACATACGACCAGATTAAAGAAAATATTTAAACTATTTTTGGTTTTTAAAACTACTTATTTATCATTATGAATTACAAATAGTAATTAAAAAACTTCTCCCATAGCATGCTGTAGGTATGATTTGATTTAAAATAATAAGAAAATGCAACATTTTTATCAACAAATGAATATCAATTAAAATTATTTTATCAATAATATAATACATAAATACCAATACTATACGATTTCAAAGAGTTGTAAGTATTATTACATTTACACAAATTCATAATTCTATGCGTTTTTAAGAATAAAAATAAAACCCGTAAAACTGTTCCAGTGTATGCATATGTGTAACAAATGGCATTTCAGGTTACTAAATGCTTATCGTTAAAAACGATTAAAATGCTTTTGCACAGGGGTCCCAGAGCCAAAGATATGTTAAAATCGTCAACGTAAACGTCTGAGCTTCTAAATATTTACCAAAGTCAATGAGTAAGTTAAAAAACCTGATCGGCTTATTGACATTTGTTTTTATTAATGGATAAATTTGATATCATCAAAAAAAGCCAACTTCGACAATGTTTAGACATATTCAAATCAAATAATCGTTTTGAATATTGCGGTGATATTTGCAATCGCAGAGAGAGTTGATCGTGGTTGAACTACGGATCTTACCACGACAATTCTACCTAGAATATGTTAACAATATATTTCAATATTTAAATGAAAATTTGCTATATTTCGTTCAAGCTTTTTTCAAAAAAAAATTATATGAATTTATCGTAAGATTAAACAGACACACTGCCATGCAGATTTAAGAAAGTGCTGGCTGCAAACCGAATCCAGGCCCTTTGGGCTCTTCAGTTAGTGAGCTGGGCTCACCAGCGGGTTCGCTAGCGAAACGGCCGTTTCGTGGTCCCGGTGGTGAAGGCTTGCCCGCCTTAAAATCTGCTAAAATTTGCTGCATATCCTTAGCTGTTAAATCCTCCTGTTAATAAATCAAAAATCAAAAAAATCTCCGTCAGATAATGAAAAAGGTATAAAGAATAAAGAACTCACATAATAGTCATCATTAATTGCCACCATTGGAGCATTAACACATGCACCTAAGCATTCAACTTCGGAAATTGTAAACAGGCCATCTTTAGTCTTCTCGCCTACCTCGACGCCCAATGTTTTCTATAATCGATTGAAAAAAAAATTATAAAATACCTTAAAAATTACTACAAACGGTGACAAAATACCTTGCAACATTCCATAATTTCATCGGAACCACGCAGCCAGCATGGTGTAGTTGTGCATACTTGAATATGATATTTGCCAGTTGGTTTGCGTAAAAACATTGTGTAGAAAGTGGCAACTTCATATACTCGCATATGCGATACTTCCAGAATTTCAGCAACCTTTTGCATAGCAGAGATTGGCAGCCAACCATATTGACGTTGAGCCAAGTCGAGTAGTGGGATCATTGCTGCACGCTTGTAACCCTCCGGGTATATGCTGATGATAGCTTCAACGCGCTTTAAAACGAAATAAGCCATACATTACGGCCACCGTTTTAATTATTTACATATGTATGCACTTACTTTCTTGTTCTCTGGCGTGAACTCGAACTTAATGTTTGGGTTATCCTCTGGTGTATCACGATGTACGAAAAGATGATCACTACGTTGGACCGCACTAGTGGCAATAGCGCGCATGCCACCACGCTGTTTTATATGCAAAAAATAATAATTATTTTTATGAGAACAAGTATTTTTGCGTTTTAAATTACATAACCCTCAACACTCTTTCTTTATTTGACTTATCAATTTATTTTAACGATAATTATTTATTGGATTTCTTTGTGACTTACTAGTAAATTAACTGATTTTGTTGCGCAGCTTGAAATCATTTTAATAAATACGCTAGGAATTCAATGTTATTGAATAAATAATTTCGTGTATGCCTCAAAAGCAGCGAATTCCTATTGTTTTGCCGAAAGAATTGACAACAGAGGCAATTGACAATTGGCTTATAAATGTTTGAAAAATATGTCATAAACAGCTGTTTACTGATTGACGTTTAAATGATTGCATGTGACATTTCGTAAGTACACTGCCGTGAAAAAAAAAAAGTTCAGCAAAAGCAAACCAATTGTGGAGAATCTTCAACAACTGTTTTCATAGATAGATTATATTAGAATCATTTCAAGATATACTATATACATATATCAATAGAGTGCTTACTGCTGATGTACGAAAATATATGTTAAAACCTATTGCTCAAGCCAGCCTTCAATTGATACTCATGGTTTGCGCCTTGCTAACAAATAAGGATGCCGATTAGCGTAACTTTTACAAATAAGTCTCGTCAGGGTTCGAATCCGAATTACGTTTAAGAAAAAAATAAAATTTGCTTTATTAAAAATATTCAATTTAGGCTGAAGGTCTGCAAAAAAGGAACAAAAATAGGAATTTACTTCTTTCTTCCTCGAAATTAACGTTTTAAAGTAAAAACTACCTTCTGAAAGCACTTACGCATTGGAACCAGTAAATACGCTTATGTAAAAACAAATTATAAAATATATAAATTAAAATCCTTTCCTATTTGCATAAAAAATGAAGAAAACGATATAAATCCCGGCTTCTGCAGAACGTGTCTGAAATATAATTTTTCAATTGAGTAGCTTATGAATCAGCTTTAAGTAACCATCAATCACAGTGAACAAAGAAAACTCCCTTGTATCCATGATTTTATACACATGCATATATGTATGTACATGCATCCGTGTTCTTGTCAATGTTAATTGTGCGTTTTGCACTCTGCCAAGGTCAACGCAAGTGAAAATATAGGTATGTGTGTACACGTTGCAATATATTAATTTCTCTTTAACTGGGTTGCATTCAAGTAAATGCATTAATAGCTTCTAATATCGGTAGCATCTGCTTCCTAGTTTCCATTTTCCCACTGGTCACAAAACAGTATTTTCCAGCCTTTTCCAGCTACGAGCCCGATGACTTTCTTCCAATCAATTTTAAATGCCTCTATTAGCTTTCCATGGAACACTGTATGAATTCCAATTTAGAAGTCAGTCATCTCTACACCAATTTGGACTTTGTTGCAATTGATTTTTTTTTTTGTAAAACATCCTGTTTAGTGCAGTGCCCTCCACTCATCATTTGAGCCATTACCCGTCAGCTATTACGATGATTTCTTCGTCTCCGTCTATTTCTTAAGCGTGAAATGAAATAAACACCCTACAAGAAGGTTTTGGATCATTTGAGCCAACATATGTCAGGAATGACGGATATGACGCGCCGAATATTCTTTTCCTCGGCGTTAATCTTCTAGGGCTTAGCTGCGTGATTTTAGATAATCCTTCAGAAGATAATCGCACGATCTTGAATATAACGTCCCATGCTCACAACACGAGATAAGGCGCTCACCAAAAGTTTCACTCATATAGTATCTAGCGGTATTTTGTTGGAATCAAAGGTCCTCCACATCAATATCTTTCAATTCAGGCACAAAAAAGTCATTGCTCATTTCTCTATTGACTGCAACATTGTGGCCGTCTTCATTTCTGAAGAAATATAAACCAATGATTCTCTCTGCCCATAGAGCATACGAAGCATTGAGGATATAACAGCGTCTCAACAATGACTTGTGGATTATTTTCACCCCAAATGTGACAGACAGTTTTGTCTATTCACGCACCCATTCAACCAAAACTGAGTTTCATTGCTGAAGAAAATTTTCCTGCGGAAATCAGCATCCATCGCAATCTCGTTTTGGGCCCATACACCGAATGTCCCTTGCGCTTGATGGTCGTTCGGTGTCAATTTTAACACGAGCTGGATTTTTTATTCACATAAACAAAGTTCCTAACGCAAAATCTGCCATAAAGTGAAAGGGCAGCGCTGCAAGAAAAAGTCTCTGCAGCTTAGGGCCACCACCGAACGACTGTCAAAACTAGTGACTAGTCAAAACTATTATAAGAGTGATAAGAGTCGAGTTAAGGCGTAACTATATTTATAGTTAATTTTTCCCAAAAGTAATTTGACTTACGTTCGAGCCCAAGATCCTAACCTAATTCTTTACAACCAAAATACATAAGTGACACAAATTACATGCATTCTTCATTGGGAATGCACGGACAGACGCATAAAATCGCATTCGAATTTCGTACGCATTGATGTACGTGTTTAATTTACTAATTAACTCAAAACTCGTACGGCGAACCAACTTGAGGTGTTAGAAACTGGTAAAAGTCATAAGCAAAGAATGTAGAATGTGGCGCAGACATGGTCAGTGACGTGGTTTGCAGAAGGTGAATATAAATTTTTAAATTAGTTTAACGTTTGAGACGTGCGTATAAATTGACCGTTATCAGTGAATTAATTTTTGAGATCATTCCAACTGCTAACTCTGTGAATGAGCGGCGAATAAAGGAAGACCAACTGCTAGAGTACTCGGCATATGTACACTCACCACACAGCAGGTGTAATGGGAAAACAACTGTGGCTTTTGCTAGCGAAATGGCAAAGACACAACAATAAGGCCGGCAAAGAAAGCGTTCGACGCAAGCTTTAATAAATTGAGTAGCCTGCAATTTTTTTTTATATATTTTTTTTTTGGTCTCATTGACCACTCTTGGTATGTTGCTGTCTTGTTTGCGGCAGCTCTCTCTCTGTTTTGTAACAACTCCACGTTCGCTCTCGACTCGTTACGGCCAGTATGGCTTGAAAGATGTTCTTGTACCGGACGTTGGTGCTGCGCTTTCGACTGTTATGGTATGTTTAGTAAGCTTAAATATAATATAAAATTGTTATGAGTATGTTTACCATCTTGGACGATTATACTCGTACTCGTACTCGTTAATGGCCAAAGAGGCAGTGTGTTGAGTAGTTCTGCGCTTGTTTGGCCAGTAGCTGGCTAGGTCTTTCCCAATATCACAGGTTGATTGAAAATTTTCGAATCAGTTGCGTTCAGCGTTCAAAGGCGGTGTGTACAGCGTGATCGTTGCGTTGGAAAGTTGAAAACGGATTTCGGAAAGTGAAATTTAAAAGAAAAAAAAAACAAAAATTAAAGCAGAAGAAGAAGACATTTTCTACGTGGTATTTGAATTTTTAAAATAAATATTTAATGTAAGTGTATTATTTGGAGGTCAAAAGCGTAAAAAGTTGCACGCATTAGGAATTTTTAACAAATTTTTTTAGTGTAAATAATTGCCAAAGTAATATATATTATTATTATTTTTGTTTTTTCAAAAAATAATCTCTTATAATAACGTGTTTCTTTACGAAAAATTTACCTTTTATTTATTAGAACTATTTTACAAATATTTATATATTTGTCATATATATACATATGTACATTACATGGAATGACAACTTGTTGTTGCTGTCATAGCTGATTAGCGACGCTGGGAATCTTGATCACTAGTTTGCCTGCACTCACCTACTTTCGGAGTTGATTTGCATACACTTTGAAAGAGTTGCTCACACAGTTCTTTTACATGTACGAGTATTTTGTTTTCGATTTTTATTTATGTATTAATCGTTGTGAAAGTGGATTTTACTTTGCTTACATATATGTACATATATGCATGTATATATTTTTAATTTTACGTAGTTACAAATAATCCAAGTAATCGAATTTACTATTGGCATATCAATTGAGTACCTGGAAATAAGTTTAAAAATAGTAGTAAACTGTGTAGTATTTCTGGCGCTGGTTTTCCAGGCTGTCATTGTTGTTGGGGTTAAAACTAGCTTAAAAATAGACGAAGTTATCCAGGACTTCAAAGTTATCACTTCAATGAGATTGCTATGACTGTTCGCCTGATGACAGCAGATATTTCGTCTTGCCTTCGTACACTACCAGACCCATTCGCCTCACTTCCTTAACAAGTCTGGAGAAATCCGCACTCACGGCGCGGTTATTGAGACCAATAATGTCAATTTGAACAGGGTACGCCAGCAGACACTCTTATAGAAGATTGTAGCTTCTCTATTGAGCTCTCTAGATCGCAATATATGCACCAGCAATAAATCAAAGAAGCTACACTATAAGCAGTCAACTCGTCTGAAACCTTGTTTGGTATGGAACGATTCAGATATGTCCTTTCTCATCCGAACGGTGCTTTTGGTTTTGCTTAAAAGAGATTTAATTTCAAAATAAATTTTACTAACTCCTCGGCTGAGAATTTCACACCGGAGCGGCGGTTTAAAATATACCGTAACTCCCGTCATTTGTTGAAAAAACATCAAGACGCCTAACATAAGTTGGAGGTGGAACTCGGCCGAAAATTGTTTCAGCATTAACAAAATGCCATGTAAATTTCTATATTTATATAAAGAGTGTTTACTTGAAATCCCAGCTGATTGGCCTGGGGGACAATGACTCATACTAACGCCTGAAACACTTGTTGGGTGGGCGATATTAAAGATTATTTGGTGCTTGGAATAGGTGAAACGTACCTGTCCACTTGATATAGCAGGCGCGATAAGGACCATCTCAACAAAGTAGGCGGCCCATCGGTAATATTAAAGATTTTCATATCTGTACTGATGGGTATAAATGTGGGGCAGGTACAGCAGTAGGGTTCTTCTGTAACCACCTCAATAACCAAGGTAGCATCAAACTCAAACACTACAACTCTGTATTCTAAGCCGAAATTGTGGGGATTACTGAGGTCGCTAAATACCAAATGCTTTATCCGGAAATTCTATCAGATGCCTGGTATACAGTCAAGCGAAATTTAAGACAATTAAGTGAGTCAAAGTCCAAAGGTGTTAGAACATACAAAAATGTAATGAAATTAGGGCAGCATGGATAATAGACGATCAGAGCCTGCTCAATGGCTTAGGTGCGGCCGCTTGCGATAAAGTACTCAACCTCCATCTTTAAATCAAGCGACCAAAAATATATCATGGATGAGAATGTGGTAACTCCTATAGGATGAATGGATATTTAACACTAAAAGTAAGCTGGCTTATTTTGAACTAGAAACCAACAACTTTCCGAAGATAAAAAGAAGAACTGATCTGAAAACTGGTATGTTCACAATTGATAGGATTTGTCCAGTTTTCGAAAAACGATCTGTTGGGTTCTTCGATAATTAATGATGCTATTTCATTAGTTGAAAAATAATGCATTCGAAAAAGCACAGGTTTTTAGCAATGAAGAACTTGGATTTGACCACTTTGTCGGTTTTACCATTCAAATTGTTTTAAAGGTTGCGAAAGAAATGGTGAACTGAAGGTGCCAGTGCGGTCTATCGTGTGGATTTTTTACTTATGTTTAATTTTTCAGTTCATTTTTGACGTTTTAACATCGCTATTTGGGATTTGGAATTATTTTGGTGATTTATCACAACTTTTTTAATTAGCTAAATCATTTTCGTTTAATTTTCGTTCATTTTCGATAATTGCCAACAGTTTGGTTTCTTGAAAAGAGATCTCTATTGGTAAATATTGACTTTCGATATCGATTTTGGTGGCTCAGTACGTTTGTCCGCCGATTGTTATCGAATTGAATTATTCTAAACAAAACAGTTTTTATGGTCAAAAATTAATTTATTTTAGGAATAGGTCATTTTGGTTACGATTCAGCGAAGTGTATGTTATGTTAAAGCATTTGGTGAGGTGAATTTCCTTTAAAGTTTAGAACAGAATGAACGCTACGGGCTACGCACCACGCGCTAGCAAAACCAAAAGGCTTAGGTTCACATGGCCACCTACCATGTAGCTACCTTCCAAAATAGTTCTATTTCCAATTTGACAGGCTACAATGAATTTAACTTTATTTAATGGAATATATGATAAAAATGATATGATTTTATTGATTTAAAAAGCAGCATCTAAATATAAATTATTTCCTCAGAATTTGCAGAAAAAAACTATATTAAAACACACATACGTTTAAGAAGCCCATAAATTTAAATTTTGTAATTAAAAAATATAATAATAATTCAAAACTGAATTAATGAAATGTAAAAATTTGCGAAAATAGTATTTTATGCTCCGAATCATGTACAAGCCAAGGCTGCATCGTAACGATAAAATTCACGTTAATCGAAAAATTTCAATCGATTCTACCTTGAAGCAGTAATCGAAATTAATTCAATTTCGTTTTTACCAGAAACGATTTGCTGTCGTTGATGTTAAATCGTTAACAGATAATGTTAAATCGTTAACAGATAATGTTAAATCGTTAACAGTTAATGTCAAATCGTTAACAGATAATGTTAAATCGTTAACAGATAATGTTAAATCGTTCACAGTTAATGTCAAATCGTTAACAGATAATGTTAAATCGTTAACAGTTATTGTTAAATCGTTAACAGATAATGTTAATGTTAAAATTGATGTGTGCTGTTAATATCATAGCAAGCAACCATTTTAAAAGTAACATTAACATTGAGTATGTGCAATTTCAACAATAAAAATTTCATTTTTTTTTCGAGAAATTGGCGCTAAAATAAAAAAAAATTCTTTAAGTTTTTTTTTCCTATTAACAAAACGAAATGACATCGTATCTCTGGTATTAACAGAATTTCGATACGTAACCAGCGTATGCGACATATACAATACAATGAATTCCGGCCTAGACTGTCGACCCAAATTTTCTTATGTACATATGTATATGCATTTCTTTCTCTTCTCAAACTATGCAGTGCGGTTGCTCAAGTAATGCACAAATTATGTAATTATAAGTTTCATTGCAAGCTCATAATATCATTTTCAACTCTTGGTACACCTACAACATTTAAGATATAACATAAGTACATACTCGTATGTATGTAACTTTCACTATCTATACTCGTATTTTCTACTTAAGTACGTGCATACATATGTACATATGTATAGGCAAATATATACACACTATAATGAGAGAATTTCTTATACTTATTTTAATATTACGTGAATGAAAAAAAAAAATGTTATGCGCCTTAAATACATACATACATATGTGGCACTTAAAGAAATTTCTCCACAACACTTATATAATATAATCTATGCAAACAACTCACCACACATACATACATACATACATACATACAACATACGAGTATACTCGAATGATGCGGCAATAATTTGTATGTTTTCATCATTTTATAATTGTTGTTGTTTTTGTTGTTGGCACAAATTTATGCATTAGCATAAGCAAACTGTAATATTATTCATACATGCTAATAGGCGCACGCACACTGCCTTACGGGGACACACACGCATACACACATACACGCAAAAATAAAAAAAAAAATAAAAAGAAAAAAATTCAAAATTTAAGAAGAAAACTAGATAACGAAGAAATCTTGGCATGTAGTAGTGCGCAAATTTACCGAAACTCTAACAAATTACTTTTGCTCATTAAAAATTCACTTTCAAGGATGACAGTTCAGCTCGCGCTTCCTCATATAAGGATACATATACATACACCCATACATATGTACATACATACAAGTGTACTTGTATAACTCGTGTGCAGTTGTCGATTATTGATGTGGCTGAGATAATGTTGCAGCCATGCTGTTATGTCTAACAACAAAATTATATTGAAACCATCAACAGCATTTGTTCGGTCACAAGTAGCGTCGGCAGTATCCTCATTAGCATTGGTGCTGCAGCAAAAGCTTCACAACTCGTGCAACGGCCGGAAATGCTCAACACACGTACACATATACATACACACTTAAATAGAGTAGGTACGTGTGGTTGTGTAAGTGATTTCCGGAGCATGGCTTTGTATTATATAAAGTTGAACCAAATAAACCAAAGTTGTTGTATTTGTATTTTCAGAGAATTTAATTTTTCAACTTTTTACTATTCATAAACCGATTTTTGTGTTGTACTCTTCTCTTCTTAATTGTCGTAGATACCTTATGGGGATCGTTTTTACTTCGACCTAGTTGAAACGATCTTTCCAACGAAGTCAAGGACCCTCTTTTTTTACTTCCACTATGAATAATTGTGCGTTTTCAACGATTCGGATGATATGACCTAAACAACGTTGTCTTTTTCTTCTTCTTCTTTACCGCTTATGCGTTTATAGCAGAGTTAACAATTCCTCCTCTGCTTCCACCGGCGCGTGCTGCATTGAAAACTTTCAAAGCTGCAGTGTTCTCATCCAAACGGACCAC